AATGGCACAACCCACATTAAATGTGCCCTGGGGATGGAGTTGATAGTAAAAGATTTTAAAATCACTAAATTTGGACAGTTAGAAAGAAAGTTAGGCTTAGTAGGCCCTGGGAAATGTATTTGTATTTTTGTAAAAAAATGCATGTAAAAGTGTAAATGTATTTTTCACATGATCTTGTGTTTGCTAGATCGTGTGCAACTGCACCTATGTAGTCAGTATATGATAAATGATATAATTGTTAGATGTGATTAGATATAATTATTGTTTAATCATGAGAAACTGTGTTAGTGGTTTGAGGGGGATCATGAGAAATCCATACTTGGATGGAACCAATGTATAGAACAGTGTAATAAAACATTGTATTGTGATATTGTAATATCAATAGAACAATATAAGTTTAATAATTAATATGTAAGTTATATAATGATAAAATATAAAAATATGTTCATCCCAAACCCATGGTGGAGTCAGATTTGGGTCTGTACCTCTGACACCTAGAGCTCTCAATAAAAGCTTTATTCTTTAGCTCTGTCCAGCCTGTTCTAGCTCAGCCTTCTCAGGGCATCCCCTGCCTCTGTCCCAGGGTGTGAAATCCTCCCTGACCCCATCAGGGTGATGGGGCAGTGCAGGTCATGGGAAATCACTACTTTGTGGCCTCCTCTATCCCAGCACCTCCAGCTGAGAGGGTGAGGTGGCCAAAAATCCCCCCTGAATTCCCAGTGCTCATCCTTGGGGTGCCTTTAGCAAGTGGGAAACACTGCTTTTAGTGAAGGAGTCAAATAAGGAGCTGGTTGCAATTAAGTGGCTTCTTCAGAGCTCTTTCTGGCCACTTAAATTTAGTTTTGAGTTTACTTTACAGGACAGAGATTTGTGTTTTAAGGGCAGAAAGGCTCTTGAGTGAGGCAGAACCCTTTTCCCGTGGCTCCAGTGGCTCCAGGCTTGCCCTGGCCTTGTCCTGGAGACACAAGGGGTTAATTTCTGAGGGATTGAGACCTCCTCAAGGCCAGCAACGTGATGCTGCTCATTGCTGTATGCTGCTATGCTAATTTTGAAGCTGTTGCTGGGCTCAGGACTCCACTGGAATGAGTGGAACAGAACGAGCTCCAACCCAAACCACGCTGGGATTCTGCACTGGGCAGGGACAAAACCAGCAGGAGATGTCACCTGGAGCCCTCTGCCAGCTCCTGAGGCTGTGCATCCTTGGAGAGCTGCTCTGGCAATGTCCTGCTGGTCAGCATTTGGGATCCACCTCAGTCCAAACTACTTTTCCTGGCATGGATTGCCCATCCCACCCAGCAGGGATTCCCACCAGCTAAACCTGGCTGGGAAAAACACTGAACAAAACCTTGAAGCCCACAAAACCTTTTAGATTCACGGGCTCCTGATCATTTGTGGCCAGCCAGGTACTCAGAGCTGTTTTCATGGGCAGCCCTAGGTCTGAACCCAGCTTTGCCCCTCACTGCCCACACCCACAGCATTCTTGGGGGGGTCAGGAGGAGCAGCAGCCCCACCACAGCTCCCCATCTCCTCCTTCTCTTTCAGCAGCACTAAAAGTGTTGGACACGTCTCTGAGGGATCTTTGTTGGCCCCAGCTCCTCCTGTCAGCACTCACAGGCAGCATTTCAGTGACCTTTTCCCATCTGTGCCCCGTTTGTTCCCCTCTCAGGGCTCTGATGGGATGGCAGCATGTGAAGAAGGGTTGGAGCTGTGTCAAAATACCTCAGTGGAGGTTGCATCCACAGCCTGAGCCACCCCTGGAGCTCCCTCAGAGCTGCCTGGATGGGGACAGGGCGATGCCAGGGAGTTCCCAACATCCCAGCAGGGCTGAAATCCTCTCTTGGCTTCTCCATCCTGCTGCACCAGTAGATCTGGAGCCCAAACTCTGGGTTTGGAGCACAGGGACCTTCCCTTTGCTGTGCATGCTGCAGAGCTCCAGGGGTGCATTTGGGGTCTTCTCTCTCAGGACAATGTCAAGGACCACATCTTTCCCTGGTCCTTCAATAAAACACAAATCCTGAGCAGCTCCATCATTTGCCTTTATCCCCTGCAGTGTCACTGCTGCCAGCTCCTGGCAGTGTCTGGCTCACAGTGGGGCAGCAGGATTATTCCAGCCATTACTATATATATTTATTGTATTTTTATATATATATTATTTAATAGATAATTATATAATTACATATTATATTATTACATATTATATAATTATGTATTATATAATTACACATTATATTATATTACATTATATTATATTATATTATATTATATTATATTACATTATATTATATTATATTATATTATATTATATTATGTTATATATGACAAATATATATATTGTTATATTATATATAAATGGGTTTGGATTATTCCAAACCCATTTATAAGGTGATCTGACCCCGTTCTCATCACTCTCCTTTTCTTAGGGCACACACAGACACTTCCTCCCCACCGCAGCAATAAACCTTTTTCTCCTTTCTGTCCCACAGCAGAACGGATCTGTTTGGATGTTGCTGCCAAAATATTCCATATCCAGCAGGAAAATCCAGCAGGAAGGTGGTGCCAGCAGGAAAGGCCACTGCCTGTCAGCATCTTTGGGGCTCTGCCATATGAAATGTCCCCCTGAAAGTCTCGAGTTTAGCAGATATGGGTTTAACTGGGGATGAGGAAGCCCAGGGACACCAGCACAGGGGGCCAGGCTGATGCTGAACCCCACCTTTGCTCTCCTTGCCCTGTTTTGGGGTGTGCTGAACCCTGAAAGTGGGGCTCATCCCCCCAAGCCTCCTCTGTGCCAGCCTCAAGAGCAGAGGATCAGGAAGACAATTGGAAAATGATGGTTTTTTAAGAGTATAAATATCACCATGCTAGAATCCACCACATAAACCTCATTCCCACAGAGCAGATATTGAAAGCTTTCCATGGGTCCAAAGGAGACCTTGAATTTCTGTGCTTTGGGAGCATTGTCTGTGCCTGAGCACCAGGGAACCCTGGCCCAGGTATTTCTGCCCTTCTGCCCTCTCAGCCTTCAAGAAACCCCTAAAACCCCACAGCATTTGCAACCTCACCCTACATGAGGCACTCCTCACATCCCTAGAGACTCTCTGGCACTTTGGTGCTGCCAGAACCTATAAAAATACATAAAAATACACGAAACCTAGGTCTGTGGAGGAAATTCTGCGCGGAGTGTGCTCGACTCCCTCCCCTCCCAGGGATGCTGCTTGCCATGCCCCCGCTGTCCGTGCCCTACATCCTCTGCATTGTTCCTTTGGGGTGAGCTCAGAGGGGCTTGGGAGGAGGGTATGGTGGGGCACACACCTGTGTGCAGCAGCATTTGCTTCTGAAAACGGGCATAGGAGACATTTTGCTCATAGGGGATATTTTTGCTTCACGGGGCGAAAACGAGACCTTTTCATGGAGAAAAGAAAAGAGACTTGAAACGCTCTGAGACTTGAAACCCTCCTTGATTTGTTTGGGCATTAAATCCTGGTTTATATCAAAGCCTGAGGCAGCTCAGTGGGATGATGCCATGGTGAGGTGTCCCTGCCCCAGGCAGCTCAGAGCCAGCCCTGGCATCCCGACCTGTGCCCAGTGGTGCCCAGGTGGGGCAGAAAAGGGATGGAAGGAATCAAAGTGCTGCTCTCTGTGTTTCAGGAGCCTCCCCTGGCCAGGGCTGAGGGTCTGAAGTTGGGCAGCCACGCTCAGGGCAAGGAAATAATGTAATTCTCCAGGAAAACCTGCTGTGATTTAGCCATTTCATGAACCTGCGGAGCTTTGAAACGCTTCCTGAGCGGGGACGTCTCATTGTGCTCTCAGTCTTTCTCCTCTGGAAAGGCACATTCTCATCCCAAAGTCCATTTTAATAAAGGGATTATTTTAAAAAAATTTTTAAAAATTCGTATTTTCCATCCTGAATTCTAAATATTCCCAGATATGGCAGTCCATTCCCAAGTTCACTCCCACCTACTTCTTGCCATCTCCATGTTGGCACTGAAAGGATCTAATTCAGGAATAAAGAAGAGAGACTTTTCTGGAAAGGCAAAAATAACCCAAGAATCTCAGCAGAACCAAATTCCACCATCTCCCTCTTTTCCCTATGGATCATCAGGCTCACAGCCCCTACCTGGCACATAGAGAAACTTAACAAGAGATATTCCAGCAAGAAATCCTCCATATAGACAGAAATAAACTGAATTATTCTGTTATGCAACTCGCTGGCTGCTGGATTTAAATGACCTGGAATGTTTAATTCTATATTTCTTGTTCTAAAGAGCTTCCAATTGCATTTTGTTACTGTATTCATTTATATAGAGTTGGATTTATTTTTAAAATAAGTAACTCAGGTTACTTACCAGCCTCATTACAAGACTACAACCAATTCTTTTAAAATCTATTTGTCTCGTTGGTGCAAGGAAATTAGTGACATTTCCATAATTAAAATGAACAAAATCCACCTTTGAGCAATTTTCCTAATGAATGTTTTCTCAGGTGCCATTTGCGTTATTCGCCGGACTAAATTCACATGACAGAATACAACAAAAGAAGGGAAAGAAGTCCAAAAAAACACAGCAACCAAACAGAAAATAGAATTAAATTTTTTTTTTTTAAGGATTAATTGCAGTTTCATGGAAAGGAAGAAAATCCCTGTGGCAGAGTGATGGGAGAGACAAAATTCCCATTGCACAAGGAAATAAAACCGCATCCTTTCACATCTGAACCAAGAGCCCATCGCCACAGTGCCGAAAATGGAGAAATTAAAGAGTGGTAGGGAAGCCTCCATTTGTGCAAAGGGAAACCCAGGCATGGCCCTTTCAAAATAACCCCCAAACTTTTCACAGATTTCATTAATTACAGGTCAAATCTGAAGAAATTACGCTTCGGCTCCAGCATGCAGCTCCGCAGGGCGAGGGGTGAAAAGGAAGGGAACACACAGCTCCCATGGCTAATAATTAATGAATTCATTAATCAATCATAGGGAGAGGAAGGGCGAGGGGAGGAAGGAATCTTACCACCAAATTGGGTAACCGGCTAAGACCTTTGTGCCATTGAAGAGAAAAGACAGAATTAGTCCAAGCAGGTGGTAATCCATCAGTCCAGGCTGGTGCAAGGGGGAAAAAATCGCCGCGAAGTTTTCAGAAAAACATGAAGTGCCAGAATGAAGAAATCCCCCCTCCTCCCAAGGAAAAAAAAAAAAAAAAAAAAAAAAGGGGGGGGGGGGTAAAAAAGAGTGAAGCCAAGTCCCTGGTGGCTCGGGTGACTTTTCCTGGCTTGTCAGAAACACACCTCTCCCAGCCTTTCCCCCCGTAGATCATCCAAAAGCGTTCTATTAAAAAGTGCAGGGCTCGGGGATGTCAGCAGGCGGCCAATCAGACCGCATGGCCCAAGGTGAGGGATGAGGCTCAGCCCAGGGCTGTCAATCACCCTCTCCTCCCCCTCCACCCCACAACTTTGTTCCGAGCCTGGCTGCCACGGACAAACCCTCTGTGCACCACACTCCACTGGGGCACTGAGATTTGGGGCGAAGATTTTCAATTTTTAATTTTTTTTTTCAAATTTTTTTTTTTAATTTTTTCACTTGGAGGCCAGGATGTGCTGCCCCTGAATTCCAGGAATTCAAGGTAAGGATGAAGGGTGGCTGTGGTGAGGGGTGGCTTAATCTCACACAGGGAGTGAGACAGAACTTGTTCTTCAGATTGTTATGTTTGCCCAATCATTCCATCGTAAAAAACCAAACAAGATTTGAGGTAGCAGCAATTTTAATTGAATAGTTTAGTAAAGATATATTGACAATATAATTTGATGAAAAACAAGGGATAATTTGGTTCCAATAATAGTGCATAAGCAAAAGATAACCACAGGGTACAGATCAAATCATATTGTCAATATATCTTTTCTAAACTATTCAATTAAAATTGCTGCTAACTCAAATATTGTTTGGGGTTTTTTTAATGGGATAATTGGGCAAACATAAGAAGATGGATAGGGATGGGGGCACAGAGGGGCAGAAAACCCCTCTGGTTGTGGTAACGTGGGTAAAACTGGTGATAAAGTTGAAATAAAACCTGCAATTCCCAGGTTTTCAGCATGTGGGGGTGATGGATGGAGGGGGGAGCAGGGGCAGATTGGATTTCTATTAGAAAAAAATGCCATGTCATGGTGAGAGGGGAGCAGGCAGATGGGGACATGTCCCATGGATGGATTGCTTGTGAAGTGCATCTCTGGATGCAGGGAGATGAAAATATTATCAAAACCCCACACATATAACCCTAAAAAAACACTCTAATCACTTTCATGATTTGCAAATAGACCCAACAAAGATTTTACTTTAAAAATCCTTGTTATTGGGTAGAGAGCCTGTTTGAACAGGAGCTATTGTGCAGCCAGAGGAGATGACTCGACAGAATGGGACAAAGAAATGGGAGAAGCCAAACAAGTTGCTTTTTCCCCCAAAGCATCTCAGCAACCACAGCTCTGCTGCTGCCCTGGGGTGGGACCAGCTCAAGATCAGGTGCTTCAGGAGCAGCCAACAAATCAGTATATTTCAGAGCCGTGGCAGCAATGGAGATTCAAGGTCCTGTCTTGGGAATGGTTTTGAAAGCTCCAGACCTCCTCTGGATCTTAAGACTATGGGCACAAACAAATTCCTCATTGTGTTTAATCACACACTGGCATAGGGAAGCTGTGGCTGGATCCCTGGCAGTGCCCAAGGCCAGGTTGGAGCACCCTGGGACATGGCAGGGGTGGAATGAGATGATCTTTAAGGTTCCTTCCAACCCAAACCATTCCATGATCCTGTGATGCACCTGCCCCTTGCTCCTGCCATTCTGGATTGCAAGTTCTGCCATTCTGGATTGCCAGTCCTGCCTGATTTTGGTGTTTGGGTGCTGAGTTTGGGCACTGCTGCTCTCAGAAAGGGTGGGTGCTGTCCTGGCCATGGCACACCCAAGGGAGGACACAGCACCTGCTCATATTTTCCCTCTCCATCCCTCCCTGCACCTGCTGCAGGGACTTTGAGGCCAAATTTCCCCTATGGCCTTTCCAGCTGACTGTGACCCACCACAGATATTAAATATTCTTGTTCTTTTGGGGGGTTTTGAATCCCAAATATTCTTATTCTTTCGGGGGCCTTTGAATCCCAAATATTCTTGTTCTTTTGGGTGTAGTCTGTCCTGGCAAATCTTCCTGGAACCCAGATGGGTTTTATTGAGCTGGGTCTGAGAAAGTAGCAATTGTCCAATGACATTTGGGGACACGTGGATTTAAGATGCTCCAGTAAATTTAACACTGGCTGGAAATCTTCCCCACATCTTGACGTTTACTGCCCATGTTTTTAAACATGAAGATGGACCCTGGTGTGGAGCTGGCCCAGCCAATTTACCCAGCCCTAAAGAGATTTTAGTCACATTTTGGGGTTAGTGTGGGGCAGGAAATATTCCAAATAGACCCATAAGATTTGACTCACATGTACTGAAGTTTAAAGGATTTTTTTTTAGGATGAAGGTGTCCCTGTCTGCCTCATTCCAGGGCCAGGGAATGATCCCAGAAACTCTTCTCTTACTGCCTAAACCAAGCCCTGGGCTGTGTGAAATGCACTGGAGTGTCTGTGAGCTGCTGTGGCAAAAGCAGAACTGGAAATGCTGCCCAGGTTTGTGCTGGTGGATGTTTTGGAGCTGCACAATCAGAATAAGGATTAAAGGTGCCAAGGGACAGAATTTTTGTCATTAAAATGTCACTGCTAGAGAGGCAGCAAGTGGAGAGAGTGAAGTGAGATGTCTCAGCTGATACTGCAGGTGGCTGGAGAGGAGAAAAACCTCAGATACTGTAGAAATCCAGTTGGGGAAATCAGAATTGAGTTGTTGTTGGTTGGAGACCATCATCCAGGTCTGGATGGACCTGGAAATGCTGGGTTAATGACTGAACTTTGATGATTTTTAAGGTTTTTTCCAACCTCAGTTATTCTGTGGTGGCTGAGACGTTCCTGTCCATCAGACATTGGGGAACACAAAATGCTCCTTATCCATTTCTGGGTATTTATAAACCAAGCCAATAATGAGCTACCAAGGGCTTCCTCTGCAGGAACCAGGAAGGAAAGTGACCCCAGCCCCAAATTCAGAGGTTTGTTTGCTGTTGTGGTGGGGCAGGGATCTCAGTGTGCTACAGCAAGAGCAGGGACACAAAACTCCCACACACTGATGTGGCCATGGGCAGGTCCTCAAAGATGTGAAGAGCTGATCCCAAGCACCCTGAATTCATGGGAATGGCTCTGAAGAGTCTCTGGAGATGCTCATCCCTCCAAATCCTTCCACTTCTCCATCCCACTACGCTCTGAACATCTGTCCCAGCATCACAGGGAATTTGTGTTGCCCCACCTTTGGTGAGGAGATTGTGTTTGGGATTTAAATGGGTTTAAATGACCTGGAATATTTAATTCTGTAATTGCTTTGGGTTGGAGATCCTGGGAACAGAAGGTCCTGGCTGTCCCTGATCTAACTCCAGGAGACTCTTGGCTCCCAGTTTCTCCCAGTGAAACGAGCAGGAAAGCAATGCCAGCTCTCAGCTGTGTCAGCCTTGATCCCCCAAGCCTTGAGGCAGCAGGCAGAGCTCCCCAGGGAGGAGGAGGATCTGTCTCCCAGGGATGAAGACTCCATTGGCTGTGAAGGGAACAGACTCACTTTGAGTCTCCTCTGATGTGAAATGAAAATCTGATGCGTACATGCTAAAATTATCCTGAGCATATTTCATGCTAGCCTGAACAAATATTTATAAGTTCCACAGCAAACATTAATTTTAAATGTAATTTCTAAGAGCAAATGACAGTTGCCCAAAAAGAGTACAATTTCAAAATTTCCCTCATAGATACCTCCTTGTGCTGCTGAGTGACAGTTTTATTAACTGAGGGTCTTTTCAATCACATCGCTCTGTCTAGTTTGGCAATATTGACTCTCAGAGCCCAGTTTCAATATGCCCAGAAATGAAAGGAATTGAGGAAGTCAGAGGTTTGGCTGCTCAAGAAAAAGTCCTGCTGCCTTTACAATGTCAGCACAGAGGTCCCTGTGTGTCGTAGGGACATTGTGGCACTGCTGGAGGGGAATTTTGGTTTATTCCAGCAAAGGAGCATTGTGATCCCATTGGAAATGTGCCTCTCCTTCCCCCTGGGCTCTAACTGTGCAACTTTGCCTTCTTTTAGCTTTTCCTCCTTTCTCCATCTGAACCCACCAGCAGGAAGACACCAAGTGCCTGGGGAAGGTGATGGGACCATGGAGGCTCCTTTATTTGTGCTCAGTGTGGATTTATATATTTATATACATGGGAATATTTATATATTCCCATATATATATGAATATTTATTCAAAGAATAGTTTTTAATATGTATATATGTGTGTATATATATATAAATAATATATATACATATTATATATTATATATTTGTGTATATATATCCATAGTTATATACATATATATTATATATGCGTCACATTATATATTGTATAATATTATATATGCATGTTATATATGATATATAAAATAGTTTTCATAAATATATTTGTATATATACATAATATACAATATACAAGATACAATATACAATGTACAATATACAATGTACAATGTACAATATACAATATATAGTATATTGTATGTTGTATATTGTATATTATATAATCCATCTGAACCCACCAGCAGGAAGACACCAAGTGCCTGGGGAAGGTGATGGGACCATGGAGACTCCTGGATTTGTGCTCGGCACGGATTTCAACCTGAGGAACCCCTGAGGAGCTCCAGGAGCTCAGAGCCCTCCTGGTGGAGGCTCAGGGTGATGTGCAGAGGAAAACTCACACCTGACAGAGATGAGCTCTCAGAGGGGGTTCAGAGCCCTGGCTCAGAGTTTTGGGGATGGCAGGGGATGTAAAAGCCTGTGGTGCACTGAGAGGGGTCAGGTCACAGTGAAGGGTAGCACAGGTTGGTGCTGAGGTTGAATTTCAGGTCTGGGCATGGCCAGGAGCAGAGCTGGAGGTGGATCTCTTGGACAATGGTCTTTTAAGGGTTAGCAAGTCCTAAAACAAGCTGGGTTTGTTGGTTTGAAGACCT